TCATTATAATTGTTCAAGCCTGACTGGATTACATCACTTTCCCCCTCATTTCACTCCCTCCCCACTTGCCTCCCTCCTTTTATTTGCACCCCGTGTTGAGCAGCGCTGTGGAGTGGGGGCTGCCCTGATGATGGATGCTGATCGCTTCATTCCCCACTGCGCCTCCCCCAGGGCTTTGAAGTGTGCTCAGGTCTCAGGCTCCAGTTCAGAGGTCACTTTGTTTATTTATGCAAAGCTGGCTCATCTGTGAAATGGGGCTTTCAAGGCCTCTGACATCAAAGGCTCCAAAGCTGGTCCCATCAAGTCAGAGCAGGGACGGGCCTTGCATGATAACAAATTGAAGCAACTTGGTGAATCATGGGGAAATATGATGGCTAGATTTTTGCTTCAAAAATTGGGCTGTTGTTTTGACTTGTGGTCGGATGCTCAGCACATGGTATTGGCCTGAAAACCAGTCATACCCTTTTGGCTAAAACATGTAGCCTTCATGGAGAGCCTGTGGGTAAATAAAATTTGATCCTGACTCAGTAACAATCTAAATATTTCTCATCAGTTGCTCTCAGAGCTGGATTGTTATGCAGAATTTTCCATGTGCTTAAACTTTTAAGAGGGAATGGAGCAATTCTGCCATGGTAATAAACAGTAACCATATCCCACTGATGTGGCAGTCTTTGACCCCAAGGCTCCTTAGTGGGCCTTGTCAATTGATGGAGTTACATACAGAAATCCCTTTTTTGCAGAAATCCAGCCTGCTTTGGGACACCCAGCACCCTGTGGCATCTCAGACCTAAAAGCCAGCATGTAATGAGCTCCTGAGGCAAGGGAGAGGCAATGGCTGGAGAACAGCTGAGGATGATGCCACTGGGGTGACATTCCTGAAGAGTGGGGCTGATGCCTCTGTCCGTGCTGGCCCTGCTTTGCATGGCCATGTGCAATATTTGGAGGGGAAGGACCTACACGAGTTTGTCCCATGTCTCCAAGTCTGTCACCTGACACGATATTGGAGCCTTGCCCTTCAGGTTTCTCCACCAGCCAGCATGCTCTGTAACACCACAGAGCCAAATTGTACATTAAGGACACCTAAATCATGTGTATGTTTTCTTAGCATCAGATACTCGTGACATAAAATTAGTCAGTGATTGCTTTTCAGGGCAGGTTTTCCACTTCATATTCCAACTGGCTGCTATCCTTAGCGTGTGATACTGTCCAAGAAGTGCAGTGCAGGATGACCTTCCAATATAGGTCACAGAAAAGGGAGCTTGTAGGATACTTCAGCAGCTCATCCTTCTTAGCACTGCCTCTCATGGTAATCTGCTGGCAGCAAACTTGGCAGTGCTGCAGAGCTGGTCCCTGCTGCCCTTTGACTGCAGGCTGATTTTTCTGTATGTGCTTATCACCCCGAGCTGCCCACCTCTGTGGGGAGCTGACAAGAGCATGAATTAGCAATCGGCTTATTAGGTCATTTCTTGAATATAGCTAGGACTCATGATCTCTGCTACTAACTCACCATTTTGTATGCTGCTCCAGTACAGCTGGATGTGGCTTCTTTCTCCAGGTCCTCTCTCTGTCTAAGAAGAATACTGCCAGGCCAGTTGTGTTTGTGACATTGGAGGGAAATGCAAACAGCCCTGTCCTCAGATCTGACATTATTAACAGGCTTCAGACAGCAGGTTTGGGCTGAGCCAGATGCCTCTGAACTTTCAGGAAATTTAGCTTTGTTTTCAGCATCACAGAGCCCTGTATAACACTACAGAAGTCTTTCTCTACCCTTGGAAACCACTTGATATTAAAATTGAAAAAATAAGAAAGTTCTTCAAAGCAGGTAGAAACAAACTCCGTGCAGCCACAGAACTGTCTTTGGTTGAGGCAGGTGGAAGTCAAATATTGATGATCTATGAATTAGACAGGGGCCTTCCATCCTCAGGGTGCTCCTGAGTTTTCTCTCTCCCCAAGTAAGAAAGCAGCTCTTTTTTGTTCTTTGCAGCCACAGATCAGAGCTTAAGACACTCACCCAAGGTGCAGGAGGGGAGATTGAAATCCCTCTCTGAATGCAGCAAAGAAGATTCCTGACCCTGTGTCACTCACATCACAGATTAGCACTTTATCATTATATCTCTGGCTACTCCGCTGCCTCACTCATACTTTTTAAGTTCAACTGGAGACTCAGGGGCTTCGGGGAATCTTCCCCAAATGAGCTCCATCCAGTTTCTGGCTGTCATGAATCAGCTCTCTTTGGTACAGCTGTTGAGTGTGAGTTTGCTCAGGTACAAGGAAGGCAGGAGCCCAGTTCTCTGCACATTGCAGCTGGAAGGGTCTGCTGCAGCATCCTTCACCCCATGAGCAGCTCTGGGGAGGGGAAGGAGCAGTTTTGCTCTACAAGAGTTTCCATGTTTGTGGCATTTCCCCACCTCAAGACTTCTGCTATTGTTGTTAATGTTACCACATTCCCAACAGGTGTGAGCAAGTTCGAGTGTAGCTAAGCCAATGTGCCTAAATGCATGCAGTTATTTATTTCAGTCTTGCTCCTCCACCAAACCATCTATTCCATCAGCTCAGCATGGTGGCATAAGTCATCCTGACCTCTTTCCCCAAAAATGACTTTTTCTGGGTTTGGTAGGTGACTCCAGAGGTTTGCGATTTGTCGGGATAACAACTGAGGATGCATCTTCAAAGGATCAAACGGATTCAGAGCAATTTTTCTCACATCAAAAGCTTGGCAGCAAGTCAAGAGGTGTGGAGTCCACAGTCAGTAGCTGTGTGTTGGCAGGAGGAGGGCACAGGGGCTGACTTTGTGTAACATGAGGCAGTGGGCAAGGGAGATACCCTGCTCTGTGTACATCAATCTCAGCAGGATTAAGGTACAATTGGCAGAACATTGCCACTTAAATCTCATAACCACTTCTATGATATCCAGCAGTTAACAATGGACAGGAATCCCCCATCTCTGACCACAGTTTTTCCTCTCCATTACAACACATTTTTCTAAATGTGCTGAGGGATTTACTATGTTCTCTTGTCAGACAGCATCCAAAAGTTCATTTGTGACACTATGGATATTTTTGGGTAAAACTGTACAAGTGCCAGGACATAGTCAATTTGGTATTTTGACTGAAAGGAGACAACATCATATGCAAGCCATCATGTATAATGTGTATTTTTGTATTCCCTGCATTTGGTTTGCCAAGGCTGTAAAAATAAACTTACAAAGTGCAGCTCAGGAGGCCCTGGCACTCCTCTGGAACACTGGCACTCAGGCTCTGTGTGAGGCTGGGTGTTTCCTGAGTGGGCCCTGTTGTGACAGTGTTCACAGGGGTCTTAGGTTGAGGGAAGAGACGAGGATCTGACTCCATGTTTCAGAAGGCTTGAGTTATTATTTTATGATATCTATTATATTTAAACTATACTAAAAGAATAGAAGAAAGGATTTCATCAGAAGGGTGGCTAAGAATAGAATAGGAAGGAATGATAACAAAGGTTTGTGGCTTGGAGTCTCTGTCCGAGCCAGCTGACTGTGATTGGTCATTAATTAGAAACAACCACATGAGGCCAATCCCAGATGCACCTGTTTCATTCCACAGCAGCAGATAACCATTGTTTACATTTTGTTCCTGAGGCCTCTCACCTTCTCAGGAGGAAAAATCCTAAGGAAAGGATTTTTCATAAAAGATGTCTGCGACACCCTGTTTCACCCTGCTGCCCATGGTTTGGGCTGGGGGCTGGCTGGGGCACCCAGGAAAGGCTCAGGGTGCCCAACAGAGGGTGGCAGCAGGTGGGATGGGGCAGTGGGATGGGGCAGTCAGCTGGAGGAGCTGCTGAGGTTTGAGCACAGCCCTGCTGCCCACAAGGTTTTCTTTTGCCCTCGCAGTGACAGCTGTACATAGCTGTACGTGTACATTTCCAGGAGAAACTGTGCTGAAGTGGCCAAAAGGAGAAGAGGAAAATCTCTCAGGGTCAAGGGGGGACAAAGTCCTGTAGCATTGCAGCCTCTCTGCTTAAGGGACAGGGCTGATGGGAGCAGAGCATCTGCTGGCATAAAATGCCCTGTGCTGAAGAGATGGGATGATTTTCCAAAATAGCAGAGCCTGGGGTGAGGATTGGCTTAAAGACAAATTCTTCTCTCTCAAAGACTGCATACAAATTTACACACTAAATGCTGTTTTAAGCACAACTCAACTTGTAAAACAACTGTAAAGAGAAGTTTTACTATTTGTACCTTTTGGGGGAAGCATGCTTATATATGAGATCAGTTTTTCCTCTTTGTTGCGGAGATTACAGAAATAATTGTCCTGTCTTTTGCTCACAAGACCCTTTTCTTTTGAGTTTCAGGAGCTGGGCATTTGAAGGGATTCCTTCCTTAAATTAGATATTTCCACTTTATTTATTTGGCTTTTTTACACCATTGTATTCCTCAATGAGCCTTCACCAAGACAACAAGAGTGATGAGGGACAAAGTTTTGTGTTGATACAGGTGGATGGGTGGTCTTAATTAAAAAGAAATACTCACAAGCAACTTTTCAAATCAATATTGGTTTTGCCAGCCATAAATTTGCATTCAGTATCCCTTGAGAGTTCATTTGACCCCAGATCTGCAGCTGAAGGGTGAATTAGTGGCCACAATCATACTGCTTAAGCTCTCTATGACTGATCACATAAGTCTGCCCCCACCTCCTAGGTTTATTATCTTTAATTTTGATTTATGGCATTATTTGCATGGATGGTACCACAGATCAGCTCCTCCTAGGGAACAGCAGCCTGTAACAGTGGGGCTTTGATCAGCTATGAATGGCAATATTGATTAAACTCCCATTGATTTTGTGGCCTGCTGGAAAGCCCATAAAGCAGAAAAATAAATTGTTCATTAAACTGGGCAGGCTGTAGGTGCCAGGATGTGGATGCCTACTGTATGTTGAGTTTGCTTCAGCTGCATGGTGTCTCCAGCAAATCCTGTTGTCATCCTGCAAGAGACCTTCTTAACATCTTCCCTTTCCTTTCCTGCACAGATGATGCCAGCTCAGGAAAGGACAGCCAGGTGCCCGAAGGCTCCAATGGAGAATATGAAGACCATTCTGGGAAGCAGTGGGGTAAGGAGCAGTGTGTGTTTTGTGGTTTTCCTGGGCCCTTGGTTCAGTGCTGTTCCTGTGGCACATTTCTCAGCTGCTGAAGGAGAGCAAAGGCAGAGCAACTGGAGGGAGTTCTCCTTGCATATGGTCAAATAATAAACAGAGTGTCAGCTGAATGTGTTGGTGTGAATGGATCCCATCCAAGGGTCCTGCAAAATGCAGCCTGTGGTTGGCCCTAGGGCCCCCTGCCATTTACCCCAGCGTGGTTCTCCCCTGTATTTGTTTTTCTGGGCAGAGACTTTTCTTTTGCATGTGCAGCTTTTACAGCTTTCATAGACTCCTTATAAAAAGCATATTGACTTTTACAGCAGTATTTCCAAAAGTCTCCAGTGCCAGCATAACATTGCTCCCACTGAGGGCAAAGGGGAGGTCTGACTTCACTTCAGGAGAATTAGCACTAAGCCAAGATGAGTATTTGTTAAGATCACCCTCTCTTTCAGCCACCTGCCTGAGCTTCTCCAAGCCATGGACTGTTCAGGCATAAGACTTTGGAGCTGTTGGAGCTTTGGGGAACTGCTAAAACTCACTCAGAGCAGGCTCTGAATCACTGCAAACCTTGCAGGCCCACTTTGGTCCAAGCACTCCTTGAAGGACAATAAGTTGTCAGGCTGAATCCAAACAGCTTTTGGCCATTCCTGACAGGAGTGTGATGTGAGTTTATGAGCTCAGTGGACGAAGCACAGCATTTCATTTTGCTCATGCAGTGCATCCCTCTCTTTAATTTTATAATACAGAGGTGGCTTTGTACCACATTTGTGACCAGGGAGAGCCTGACAGCAGTGGTAGGGGTGGAACATGATAGGATTTTGCTGTGTGTATCCCACCACTGAAGCTGAGGCCAGTTTTCTTCAGCAGCTGGCAAGCAGGGATGTGGTGTGCTGTGGTATGGTCCAGGCTACACTTGAATTACATATTTATCTCAGGCTGAGCTTGCTTGGGGAGAGCAAGGTAACCTCCACTCATTCTGGAGAGGGATGACAACATTTCAGAGCTGGAGGAAGTGTGTCTTAGATAAACTACAGGTCAGGAGTACTTCAGGAGGGGTTTGTCAGCTGCCATCTATCCACTTTCCATTGCCATTGTGCTCCTGGTACAGCTGCTGGATGATGGATCAATACAATACAACAATAATATTATGAAGAAAAGATGTGAGCCCTACTAAAATTATTAGGCATTGACAATCTCATGTCTGATTGTGTCTTACTCTGGCCCAGTCTGTTGTGCTGCAGAGTGTTCCTGAACCTCTGCTTTTTCTTCTTTTCATCTCTCCTGTCTCCTCTCCTCTCCCCAAGCTGAGAAATGCCTGGGGCCAGCCATGCACCCACCTAAGCCCATCCAGCACTGCTCAGCAGTGAATTGCTGGTGTGAGCTGGTGTGCAGGGAGGCTCAGGATGGTGGGTGAAAGAGCAGGTGGTGTTCTCACAGTCCTGGGCCTTGGAGAAGTGTGAGAGGAGAAGCATGGTGGAAATGCTGGTGTGAATGGATCCCATTTTAAAAAATAAAAGCTCCACTTACTTAAAAGCTTACATAAAAGCTTACCTACTTACTTACTTACTTACATAAAAGCTCCACTTTACTTTCCGTGTACCGTCATAGAGTGGTATCTCTGGGAAGAGCAGGGGACTGATGTGGGGAAACACAGAGATCTCCATCCATGTCTTCCCACAACTGACTGGGCTCTTAACCAGAAGGCTTGAAATGTATTTCAATCCATAGTCCTATTGGGACACTTTTTGTGTAATTATCAGGAAAGCTGAAGTGATAGTGACTGTCACTACATGGGGGTAATGGTGGTGCACCACAGCAGACAACATTTTCAGATAATCACGTCACTTTGTGTGAGCAATGTCAGCCTCAGGGACTGATCCATGCCTCTCAAGGTGTCCCACAGGGAGAGGACACCACTGAATTCCTTCACAGGTCTTTGTGCTGCATTTAATTTTCATTAGCTCTGAATAAATCTTTATGGTAAACAGCATTTCAGCCAGGAACCCATACACAACACTGTCTCTTTGTCCCCATCCACTTGTGTTTTCCCTTGCTTTTGAGTGGGACATAATTTATACTGTACAAATGTGTGGTTCATGTTTATGAAGCAAATGCCAAGTAATGTGGAGGAGAACAAGCATGTGAATAACACAGAGGCACTTTGTAATTGCCTTTGCTGGCACTCCAACAAGCAAAACTTCTGTAAATGGAACAGATTTGGGGACGGACATTTAGCATCAAATCAAAAGAGACCTTTTCTTCCTGTCTCTCACAGTGCTGCTTCTCCTCTTTCTCCTTTGTGCTTGCTGGGTCTCTTTTTCTCTCTAATGTGTATGTCTCTCTCTCTTTCTCCTTTTTTTGTTAGCTGGCTTTTCTAAACTTGTCCAATTCAGGCTTTTGTCAAGGAAACATTCAGGACTGTGTAAATGGGATCTGGTTTCAGCATATTGCATGCAGCCTGGAGTAGCTTTTGAGACCACATAATCACTTAACCTTTTTAAACAGAAAGAAAGAAAGGCTGAAAGGTCCAAAAAAGTGTAGCTTTACCTGTAGTTTAGTATGTATTTGTGCAACCATGTGCAGGGAGTGAATGAAGAGCTCCAGACAGGCTCATGGGAGTCACAGTGGGAAGAAAACCAGAAATGTTAAAGACCTGCTTTTTTTGGGTGGAAAGGCTTTCTGTCTTAAAATGCCCTTACTGAGCAGGGGTGCCAGCAAGTCCTGCTGAGAGTTCAGAGCCACTAACTTGACTTTTCAATCTGCGGGGGGAGTGTGAGTGTCCTGGCTCCAGCTTGCTCTTTGGTGTGTTAGTCCCAGCTCAGGAATCCGTCCGTGAGGATCTCCCCTCTGCTTAGACCTGGTCTCAGAGTAAATTACTGCCATATTACAGAGTAGCTGTTCAGACCCATTGCATGTCTGATTCCTGACCTCTCCATGAGCCTTGCAGACATTTTCTCAATTTCCACAGTGACAGCCCTTATCAGCACGTCTCCCCTGGCTCAGACTAAAATTTGGGATGTCGTTGGCCACAGTGCGCAGCTCTGACAGGGCTCATTGTCAGGGACGGGGATTGTGTCTGCTGTGAGGGGCCTCCTGCAGCAAAGACCCCAAAGAGCCCAGCAATTCAGGCCCCAGGACCTGTGGAGGGGGTTAGTATGTCACACTTGCTGCTCAGCTGTCACGGCAAAGACTTCCAGTGCCGGAGTTACTCCGGTTCATTGGATTACACATGAAAGCCTCTGCTTGGAGAGCAAAGCATTTCTGAGCAGGAGTTTGAAATAACATGAAATGGCTGGGACCCAAAATGACAGCCAAGGGGGGCAAGGGAAGGCTGTGGAGACAGATGGTTCCCCCTGTGGAAAAGGGGTATGCCAAAGGGTGTCCTCTTCCAGAGGGAGGGATGTTGGCCAGGGCTGCAGGGGGGTGAGGGCTGAGGGGTGTGCTCACAGACTCAGAAGGCAATGGCTGCCATTCCCCAGAGCCTGGAGACAGGAGGCTGCAGACCAGCCTCCTCCATTCAGGAAAGCTCCACTGTAATGCACATCCCAGAGCTTCTGGCCCTCAGCCCTGGGCAGCAGGGCTGGCTGTCAAGTAGGAAGTTCCACTAGGCCATCCTGTAGCTGGCCAGGGAATCCCTACAAGTGCTTAAAAAGCATGTAGATGTGCTGCTTAGGGACATGGTTTAGTGGTGGAGCTGGCAGTGTTAGATTAATGGTTGAACTCAATAACCTTAAGAGGTCTTTACCGACTTCAACAGTTCTATGATGGGTTTCGTTAGACGTGCCCCATGACTGGCATAGTTAAACTAACTGTAAGAAATATGTTATTTCTTTTAAATTCTTCATTAAATTTCAGATTATGCAAGATGAGGGCCTTGCATTTCTCTAAGTTTCTTGTCTTTGCACTCTTAGAAATACTGTTGATTTCTTTGCTAAGACAAGATGACCCATGCTTCTATCCACCAGCTGCTATTGCTTCAGATTCTCCAGTTTTGGGATGGGCTGGCATGGGGTATCCTCTATTAACAAGCTCATAAAGTTTTATTGGGTCTTTGTTCACTTCTCTGGACCATTCAACATGAATGTTTTGTAAATTGGAGCTGAATGAATTGCATACATTTAAGTTCAGACCAATGTACAAAAAGTCTGTCACACTTCTAAGAGTTTCCTATGCATGTAAAAGATGCTGACTCTTCTTAAGTCCCTTTAAAACCACTGAGAACTAAGAGGCAAAACATCTTCAGGAAATGAAGCTTCATGTGACAAGCAAAAAAATTGAGAAAATGGTCAGCGTGACAGGAATCTGAGTTTTTTCCTTTGGTCTTGGCCAAGGAGTTTGTGGAATATGGTAACAATTACAGTGTGATTATGGGGCCACATTTTGCCTTCAGCTGCAATAGCGTGATTTTGGTATTATTTTGTGAGATGGTCTGGTGCAATTGCCTTACAGACACAGAAATTCTGAGACTGTGCTATGCAGACAGTTAATGCATTGGCCAGAGCAATCCCATAGACATTCAAATGCATTGGCTGGGTGGTGAATCCCTGCTAAGGAAAACAGTTTGAGCTGATACGAGGGAGAGCCCACACTGGCTAGTATGGGGCTGCCTCTCAAGCAAATCTGGCCGTAAGGCATAACAAGTTTCCTTGTCTGCTCGTGCCCTGTGCTCACCTCAGTCCGTTGTGATGCCTTTGCAGCCCGGCCCAGGTTCACCCAACCTGCCAAGATGAGGCGCAGGGTGATCGCCCGCCCCGTCGGCAGCTCCATCCGCCTCAAGTGCGTGGCCAGCGGCAACCCCAGGCCCGACATCACCTGGCTGAAGGACAACAAGCCCCTCACTGCCCAGGAGATTGGGGAGAACAAGAAGAAGAAGTGGACGTTGAACCTGAAGAACCTGAAGCCGGAGGACAGCGGGAAGTACACCTGCAGGGTGTTTAACAAAGTCGGGGAAATCAACGCGACGTACAAAGTCGAAGTGATCCGTAAGTGCGGCCCTGGGAGGGAGAGCAGAGAGGGGCTTTGAGAAAGGGGCTGGCTCAGCCAAGACAGTGTGGGGTGGTAAGGGAGCAGAGCCTGGTCCGTGCTTTGACACCTCCTTGCAGATACTGATGTCTGGACATGGAAATGGGGAAGCGCTAAAAACATTAGAGAAAACACTGCTGGAACTCTAGAATGAGCCTGAAACCTGGGCAAGACAGAGTAGCAAGGAGACAATTGAGGAGAGGTACTTGGGAAACAGTCATCTCCACAGGCACCTGCATGGTGAAAGTCATGCCCAGGTCAGTCTTCCACAAGAGAATCAATTCAAGGACAGACAGAGAACTAACAGAGAAAGTCCTTTCAAGTACCATGGCTGAGGGAGGGAAATATGTAGGATAGCCCAGATTAGTATGTCAGAATGGGGGAAACCAGTCAATTTTAAATTTAATTGAGAAGTTTCCCTAGGGAAACTTGAAAAACAAGAAATCCTATGGTTAGAGTGACTATCCAGACAAGGCTTTAGGGCCAGATCCTAAAAAAGGTTTGGCCATCTGAAGGTCCAGGCAGGTAGAAATTAATTACTAAAAAAAAAAACCCCAAACCTTAAAAATATCCACTAGGATCCTGTCTGTATCTTTAGATGTCTACATAGCTTTAAAGATTCAATCCTCAGAAGATGAGCTATAGGGGATTACCCTGCATTGTGGTGAGGTAAATTGCTCTTCTTACTATCTAGCTATTCTGAGTCTCGCTCTCTAATCTTCTGTTTCCCCTATTAGTGCTGAGGATAATTGTACTCAAATCCTTCCTAAGTTTACCAGAGAAGAGCTCTTATTCTTAAATCATTGTGCTTTGCCCATGACATCATCATAAGTTGTCATGGAAATGATTACAGAGTCGCCAAGTCAAGAAAGAGAAGATGAGCTGAGTGGAGGGAAGATTGAATAGCCTTCATTAATGAGCAGCAGGGGCATGGAGGGCTGCTTCCAGCCACTTGGAAATCATGTTGTTTGTCTGTGCGTACAATTTAGCATGAGAAAGTTTATCCCAGTGTGAAAGATTGTTCTTAAGGTAAAGATCTGTTCTCTGATAAGTCCTTTCCCTAGAATCTCAGGAATTAAAAGCACATGTGGGAAACTCTGTTGGGCTCTGAAGGCACAAACCTGCTGGACATCTGGGATTGATAAAGATGCAGCTGTGTGGAGACAGTAAAAACATGTGTTTACACTAAAACCAGGAGCAGAGGCAGGGAAATGAATCAAGCCCCATCCTAATGGCAGCTGTGGCATTTTCACTTCATCAAAACCAGACAGCACCAGGAACAAACCCCTTTCTGTGTCCCTGTTTATCTTGGTTTTTATCAACCTAAAGATGTATGTAACCTTTGTTTTCATTAGCTTTTGCTGGCTAGGAGTGAAAACAGTAACCAAAGCTGGAACCAGAGTCAAGGAGATAAGGGCATTAAGCAGTTTGCAGACATCTTTCTATTTTTAACATCATTCTGTGGAGCATTACAGGTTTTATTCAATTTCCTCCTTTTTTTCGCCTCCCCTGAGCCTCCACTCCCAAGTCCTGCTTATCTGGGTCTCAGTCTCCCCGGCTGTGATTGTTGCTCACAGGCCAAAGGCAAAGCCTACAGAGACTACTGTGGTATTTTTGTTTCCTAAGCACATCTTTAGAGCCCTCAATATTGAAAGTATCCCGAGTTTTTGAAAGAGGGTCCATTGTTCCTTCCTTTCACTCCAAAGCCAGTGCTGGTGGGAGCTGTTTTGTTACATGCTCAATCCAACAGTGTTTGCCATCAAAAGGAGTTGATGATTGCCAGCAGTTACCACCCACAGTGATACCATAATTTCTCCTGTGCCTAGGACAGAGGTTTGCATTACCTCCTTGTCTGGAAACTGTGACTGATTTATCTGCTCCTAACACTAAAAAAGATCCAAACATTCCTCAGAAGGAGGCGTACATTTTTCCTTTCACTTTATGTGGTGTTGACACAACTTTAGACTTACGATCCTGCTGGAAAGGATGGTCTTGTGAAGCTCTTCCAAAACATGAGGGCTCAGAGGGAAACCATCCTTTTCTCCAGGTCTGGTGCAGGTAGAAAATCAACTTCCTTGTTATAAACAGGAAGATTCAGGTTGAGCATGACAACAGACTTGTTAAAGCCTCAGACAGTGGTGGAGTTGTTTGGGGAGCATCTACCATTGGAGGCTTTGGCAAGAGGCTGGCAGGAGAAGTTTGCAGAAATCTCAGCCTGCCTTGGGGCAGGGAGTTGGACTAGACTAAGATTTTGCATCCCTCCTACACCTTTCCCTTACGTTTCCACAATGCAAGCGACTGAGGCTGGCAAACCCCTTTTCCCACGGAGCTCCCTGTGTTTGTGTGCAGAGAGGACGAGGTCCAAGCCCATCCTGACGGGGACCCACCCCGTGAACACCACGGTGGACTACGGCGGCACCACGTCCTTCCAGTGCAAGGTGCGCAGCGACGTCAAGCCCGTCATCCAGTGGCTGAAGCGGGTGGAGTACGGCACCGAGAGCAAGTACAACTCCACCATCGACGTCGGCGGGCAGAAATTCGTCGTGCTGCCCACGGGCGAGGTCTGGTCCCGCCCCGACGGCTCCTACCTGAACAAGCTGATGATCACTCGAGCCAAGGAGGAGGATGCAGGGATGTACATCTGCCTCGGGGCAAACACCATGGGCTACAGCTTCCGGAGTGCTTTTCTCACTGTCCTGCCTGGTGAGTTGTGATGGTTTTCCCACCTCTGTCATCAGTCCTCTGTGTCATGGTGTGGCAATGTTCCTCACTCGGGGTCACCAGATGTGGTGGTGGTGGTCACAGGGGTCCCAGGACAAGGGAAGAGAATCTCTTCTCTCCATGTCCCGGATGGCTGACTTATTATTTTATGATATATATTATATTAAAAGAAAATGATATAGTAAAACTATATAGTAGTGAAAATGATATAGTAAAACTATAGTTTTACTATACTAAAAGAATAGAAAAAAGGATTTCATCAGAAGGCTAGCAAGGAATAGAAAGGAATGGAATGATAATAAAATCTTATGATTGACCAGAGAGTCTGAGACAGCTGGACTGTGATTGGCCATTAATTAGAAACAACCACATGAGACCAATCACAGATGCACCTGTTGCATTCCACAGCAGCACATAATTATTGTTTCCATAAATATTGTTTCCATAATTATTGTTTCCATTATTGTTTCCATTGTTTCCATAATTATTGTTGAGCTGGCCTCTCAGCTTCTCAGGAGAAAAAATCCTAAGGAAAGGATTTTTCATAAAATATGTCTGTGACATCATGGTATTTATTCATTCAGCTGCTGTTGCCCATTGGCTCCCTGGCCCTCTGTGATGCTGTGCTGATTTAGGCTAGCCCAGTTCTGATAAGAATGAATGGAGGATTAAATCAGCCCTGGTTTAAGTCAGTCCCTGCTGAAATCCTGTAGTTGATATTTCCTTTTCTCCCTTTGTGGGAAATGACCACAGAATCACAGAATGGGTCAGATTGGGAGGGACCACTGCTGGTCATCTGGTCCAACTCCCTGCTCAGGCAGGGTCAGTCCAGAGCCTGTGGCACAGGACTGTGTCAGGATGGTTCCGGAATATCTCCAGTGAGGGAGACTCCACAGCCTCTCTGGGCAATCTGTTCAGTGCTCGGTCACTGCACAGTAAAGGAGTTCTTCCTCATGTTCAATTGGAACTTCCTGGGCATCAGTTTCTGTCCTTTCTTTGTGTCCTATTGCTCAGCATGATGGAGCAGAGCCTGGCCCATGCTCTGACACCTCCTTGCAGATACTTACAGACATTTTTGAGGCCCCTCTCAGTCATCCAGGTGACATAAATTGAATTATCTAGTCCTGTATGAAAGATGAGCAAGTTGGGGAAAGTTACTGCAGTTGCAGACACTAAATCACTGCAGGATGAGAGAGGGGAGCTGAATAACAGCACAGTTTGCACCCTCATTCCCTAAAATTCCTCCTTTCTCTTGCCCTTATTTATATTGCTTTTACTGGTAAAAGGAAACAATGATACAGGCCCATAAAATGACGGAAGAATAAAAACTGTCTGGGGCACAAGAAATGAAATGAATGACTGTGGAAAACAGAATGGTTGATTGGTTAAATCTTTACCCAGTGGTCCCCTGGGGCCCCTGTACCAAACTCAGAGCTGCTGCCTTCCCTGCCCAGGCCTCAGAGCTGGGGGCCACATCCAGCTGAGGCTGCATCGTTTGTGTTTGAGACTCACCATCCCTGCCTGGTCATCTGCTCCTCTGTCTGCTGACTGTGCAGTTCTACCTGATAAACATTTTGGATTTAGGACTATAACTGAAAGGCCTGTAAATACCCAGGAAAAGGCAGCATGGGTGGGATATAACTCAAAGCCCCTGGGAGTTTCTGACCGATGAGAGTCTGATCCAGCTCCCACTGAAATCAGGGGGAGACTTTCCATGGGTTTAAATGGGACTGTAGTGAGGCCTCGTGCCAGAACCAGAGCCTGCAGGGCTGTTGATATTGGCAGTGATGGAGAAGGAGAACCCAGCTTGCCTAAGATGCAAAGATGTGGTTGTAAAGCCATGACTTAAAAAAGACCATTTTGCTTGTAAATCTACCAGATTTGACATTGACAGCTCTGAGGAACGTGGATGAATATCAAAACACTTTCCTTTCAGCCCAGCATAGGATTTCTGCCAACCAGCATGAAGACTTCTGTTTTCTGTGGTCAGCTGATAGGTCAGATCTCTGATCTTGTCATGTTTTTAACAGGGGGCTGGGCCAGACCCGCCTTCCAGCCTAAATTATCCTGTAATTTCCAGAGCTGGTGAATCAAAATTTCATCTATTAAGGTCAAAGTATAGGTCCTCCTAACTTCAAAGGGACCACATGGTATATATTTAACATTTCAAGCTACCCATAGGATTATTTGTCAAGGAGGGAAAAAGACATTAGTGTCTTAAAGAAGTCTAGCTTGAAAGTTGAGTGGTAGATGTTTGAATATAACATATTGAATGATTAAGATAGCCTGTGGTTTTTGAAGTTTTCTGGGTGTCTCCCTGCAGGCTGAATTCTGTGCCTGGGTGTGTTTCAAGGCATTGGATATTCCAGCTGGTAGCTATCTAGACAAGGATTTTCACAGCTAAAATCCTATCCCCAGGACTCCTTTTGGGTCTATAAATGAGGAGATTAGGCTGAGAAACTGCAGTGGATGTCCAGGGATAGCCACTGACTGCCAGCTGCAGAGAGATAAAGAAGGAGGTAGATGTGAAAGATGATGTCCAAAGCATCTTATCTCCTCCAGCAGCTGAATTTACTGCCCTTGGAAAGCCAGCAGCAGCTCCAAAGAGACTGGTGGAGGTAGAGCCCATTTGAGATAGGAAGCTGGGGCACACTTCAATGCTGAGTGAATTTTCAGTTCTCCATGGCTTGGGAACCAAGGAGGGGCCACCAGCCCCCCTACATTTTCCCATCCTTCAGCCTTCCTCCCTTCCTCCCAACCACACAAAAAGGTCAAGCCAATACCTAAAACCCCCCATACATTCTCCCTGCCATGGTGGAGCACTGCTGGGTGCTCCAGGATTGCCAGACAGGATTTCCAGAGAGTGCCTGAAGCCCTTGCAGGCAGAGCTACAGCTGGCAGAGGAGGGTGGGCAGCGTGCTGTGGCTCTGTGCAACCTGGGCTGGTGACAGTGGGGTTTTACTGGCATGTCCTGGGTTGTGTCCTTCAGTCTGTGCAGCAAAGCCCATCCTGTCACAGTGAGAGCATTAGGAAACTCTCTCAGGCTGGCTCTAGTGTGCATCCATTAAAGCCTGGATAAGAGAGTTATGAAATCCCCCAAAGACTCCCCTCCTGAGCCCCAAACCAGAGAAAATGAGTTGCTTGTCCTTCCAGGAGCACTGAAAGCAAAGCAGTTACCAAACATCACGCGCTGGCTGATTTCTGCCTCGTTCCCTGGTCTGGCAGAGTTGCTGACAGTCTGTCCAGCAGCCAGCCCCAGTGTGCCATGTGCCCGCATTCCATTAACCCTTTCTGTCTCTCCGTGCCCAGATCCCAAGCCTCCCAGCGCACCCGTGCCGCCCTCCTCAGCCAGCAGCCTGCCCTGGCCCGTCATCATCGGCATCCCGGCCGGGGCCGTGTTCATCCTGGGCACCATCCTGCTGTGGCTGTGCCAGTCCAAGAAGAAGCCGTGCTCCCCGCCGGGCACGGCGGCCCCCGCGCACCGCCCTGCGCCCCGCGAGCGCGCCGGCCTGGCCCCGCTCCCCGACAAGGACTGCATCTCCTCCATCAACTACGACGAGTACGTGGCCCAGCAGCAGCACCTGCTGTCCCAGGCGCCCGGCCTGGCCCCGGCCATGGCCCCCAAAATGTACCCAAAGATTTACACGGACATCCACACCCACACGCACTCGCACGTGGAGGGCAAGGTGCACCAGCACCAGCACATCCAGTACCAGTGCTGAGGGCCGGCCCCGCGGCTCCTTTGGGCTTTTCTCCCTCGTGGTACCTCAGCAGAGACTGCTCCAAGCCAGCTCAGCACTGCCAGCAACAGGCAAAGCAGACAGAAAAGGTTATATATGTAATTTTAAATATATATATATACATATATATATAATTGTATATGCGTGTGTGTATGTGTGTATATATATATGTGTATATATCTATATCTATCTATATAAATATATATATACATATATATATAATTGTATATGCGTGTGTGTATGTGTGTATATATATATGTGTATATATCTATATCTATCTATATAAATATATATATAATAGAGAAAGACACAGAGAGAAAAGAGATTTTTTTTTTTTTAATTATTGCAATCAGGATGTAGCCGAGGAATAATGAAGGAACTCCAGTTCACAGCAGAGAAGCAGCTGTCTCCAGCAGCAGAGCCTTCCTGGATATTTTAATGAGAGTGGCCACAAGTGAGATGGGACACAGGGATGTGAACCACCACACCTTCCTTGTGTTACTGAAGGGAGCAGGTAGAGCCAGAGGTGTGTGTGGTATTTCCTGGCTGGGCCTGGATTCCTTCCTGGGCATTGTTTTGGTGGGGAGCCCCCAGACCTCTCCTGCTCTCAGTGACTCAAACTCTGACACACCTGAGGCTCAGTGCCAAAGCACCAGGAGACATAACCCATTCATCTCGTGCAGGGAAAGGAAATAACACAAGAGGGTCTGAATAAACCAGTTTCTGTTCACAAGGTGAAATGCCACGTGCTGCTCAGTTGTGGTCAGCACAATCAGCTAAGCAAGCTGGTTGGTTCAGTTTCTGCAAGGTGAAGGCATCTTGTTTGCCATGGGATTTTCCAGATCAGCTCCACTCCTCTGGTCCTAGGACTCAGTGCCACTGCCAGGAAAAAGGAAAGAAGGAAAAAGGAACATTGTACAGAACACCTTTTTATTTATATTTAAGAAATAATAATAATTAATAATAATAATTGAACTGCTGATGGTGAAGAAAGCAAAACACACTGTCCTTCTCTGATGGCTTAGAGTGACAAGCTACTGGATTTTCTGCGTCAATGCAAAATACGTGAGAGCATTAGAAAAAATAGTAAGAAGCAAAGAGAGTGAAATAATCTTGTAGGAAAAAATTGCATTTGAGAAATATCCACCTAGGTTGTGTGTGGTTGTCCCCTCCCCTCAGATATCACTTCGTAAGTGATAAAGCATTGCAGTTCAAACAACAGGAAAAACAGAAAGAAGAGAAAATAAATAAGGACCATATTAAATACCTATATGGACTGGGAATGAATCCAATTGCAAAATATAAAACCTTTGTAATTCTATATAGAGTTTAAACAGAAGTCATGTATATTTAATTTATTTTGTTAAACAAGAAAAAAAATGTATGATATTTTCCTCGAAACAGGCATTTCTATATGTATTTTTGATCAAAGAAAATAAAGATTTTTTTTTTCAGGTTCTGTAGATGCCATGCTCAGAACACACTTGATGTAGCTTGTGACCAACTGTGCTTCTCCTGACCTGGAGGCCACCTGTCTCTGTGCCTTTCACACCAGCCAGGTGCCATCTCCTGTCCCCTCAGGTGCTGCTGGTGCCATCCTGTCCATCAGAAAATGACCTTTCCCACTGGCTGTGTTCTGGCTGTGGGCTCTGCAGTGCCCAGACCACTCCTCATGGACCCCAGCCATCTTCAGCAGCAAAGTTCTTCTCTCACAGGGAAATCTCTTTCACTCTGCATTTCTGGGGGTGTGGGGAGGATGATTCATTCGTTTTTTTAAGCCCAGACCTGCAGTGGTTTGTTGGTTTGGGTTTTCTTAAAGAAAATTTTGTAAATCAAAGCATAATAATTTGTGAGGCTGTAAAGAGCAACTTTGGCCTCAGGGTGCTTGGAAGGGGAACTCATGAAATGTGGGTGAAACACTTGATTTGTAGCTGCAGCTGCTTTAGGAGCCAGTGGAGGGTGAGCTGGGCACAATGAGAGAGAACTCAGGAGCTGCTCCCTTCAGTGGGGCTTGAACCTTCCTTGTGCTGCACCCCACACAGAGGCACCCAGCTCTTCAGGGGCCATTTCCTTTGGAGAAATAGTTTCAATGATGAAACTATTTCTCTTCTTTTCATTTAGAGTTTGATGGTTTAAACAAAAAAAAAGAAGAAAATTTGAAACATGCTAATTTTCAAGTTTGGAATCACTTCCTTCTCAAGCCTGTTCCGTGAAAGAGATCCCCACCAAACCAGCTGCTCCATTTAAAAGTGAAACACTTTATTTAATCTGAAACAAAGCTGTGCTTTAGGCTTTGCTTTTCTCTGAACATTTGTGGAGGTGTTTGCTCTGTGTTGACCCGCAGTGATTTTTTTCTGGTGGTTTGTTTGAATCACCAGCAAACCAAACAGTTCCCTGTTTGCTCAGCCGTGGTGCTGAGATGGGGCCCCGATTCAGTGAAACACTGAATCAGCTCCTGCTTTCTTCACCAATGCATTCTGCTCCAAAAAGTCCCTTTCTTGCCTTAGGAGGAGGTTATCCATGCAATAACCCCTAGAGGAAGGCAGTCCCTCTCTTGTAGAGGTTGTAATAAAGCAACCTATTGATAACTAGTATTTTTCAGCAGGAGGGTTCAAACAGATTTATGAAATTTCAGATTAAGGATATCTTTATATGCATCCTCTCAGCTTCAGGGAGGGCTGAGAGGAGCTTAAGTGTGAGCACTGATATAAGGCATGGATATAAGGCATGGTTTGGGCAGGAGTTCTTAATGGCCAAAGTATACTGACTCATTTTATTTCAAAAAATAAATGAAAAAGCCTCTACACACTAAGGGCATTGCCTTTATTTCAAGGAGACACTAAGCATATGTTTCCATGAGAGATAATAAAGTCTGCATCTCATATCTTGTGCCTGTGGGAAGCTGCTTGCTTGTGGTGTGTCCCAAACTCCTGCACATTCCAGCAGCACTGGGGCATGGCACAGGGCAGGGTTCCCCTGTAGTCCCATGGTTCTTCTCTGCTCTCTGGGCCAGTGTTGTGGCAGGGAGACACTTCTGGCCATGCCCTGTGGGCAGCACCAACAGCAGCCTCAGAGCTGGGCACTGGCTTTGTGGGTTCTGCCCTAACAAGCCCTGAGAGATTTTCTAATGGCACCAGCTCCAGTGGCAGCTCTGAGCCTCAGAGAGGGGTTGGTGGGTGAAGAGAAGCACTCCTGCATTTCCCATGCAGCACAGAATTGCAGGCTGTGTAGCACTCTCCACCTGCCCTTTGTGAGCAGCCCTGCAGTGCTGCATCACGCAGGCAAAAATCACATTTTGTCAGATGGCTCCAGTGGAAGGAGTGGCTTCCTCCTGCCCTGCAAAGATAAATCTCTAGTGCTGCTGGCAGAGCTCTCCAGAGGCAAATGTTGCATTAAATCATCCTGTGTGGGCAATGCATCAGCCCAGGGCAGCTGCAGCTCTCGGCTGTGGCGCTGGGAATGCAGCTCTGGATTTGGGTGCACCATGAGAGATGCCACAAAGGTCTGGATTTGCAGAAAGCCTGGGGATTTCATCCTGCCTTGGCTGTCTGCTCCATCCTGACCACCAGGAATGGTGTGAGATTTCCCCCCAGGGAAATACCCTCACATGCCCTGTTTAGGAGGGGCTGTGGTTGTTGTCTGGGCCTTGCACTGGCTTGCTGTGCCTGGGTGGATTTCACATTTTTGAGGAATTATTTTTCCTTCACAAGGTACCTCTAAGACCTTTTCTGAGTCACTCTGTCCAAGCCCTACTGCATGCCATTGAATTTTAGGGCTTGATTGTGCCTTGCATATGTTGCAAAGTCTTCCATAGTTTAAATAAATTCAACCAGGTCACACTTGTGTATGAATATGTTTTTTATTCAGTGGGAAAAGATTTGGATGCATCTTCATTCCTCAATAGAGGGTGTTCAAAGAAAACCATTGTCTTGTTTCTGGTCACTGACCCTATGTTGAACACAGAAGATTTTTCATTTTATATATTTGTATGCATATAGGCATATAGATGTACATGCCAAGTTGTGATACAGAAGGCAATTGTACTTTTAAAACCATGGAGCTTCAAAGATCAAAGGAATTTTAGGCTTAAAACTCACTGTCTTTGTTAATTTTATTTGCATTACAGATCAAACATGGCTTTACCTACCAGTTTGTGCATTTTTTAACTTTGTATGGACAATCTTTCTGTGGTCAGCCCCTTTCAAACTGAAAACTTATCAGACATTGGAGATAAAAAGTGTTCTGTGGTTTTCATTTGGTGACAAATACAATAACTGAACACATCAAAGGAGACAGAATGGCACAGTGTGTCTGTGGCTTTGTAATAAAAGTTGCAGAAAAAAAGGAATAAAAGCCTGGAGTTGTGCTAATGTGTTTTAGAGTTCTGTGTTTTGAAGGGAAGTGTGGCTCTGTGTGGGTGTGTGTGTGTTACACATCAGGAGTTTGTGCTGGCAGGACAAACAGAATTGTAAAGTTACCTGTGTGCCACAGCTTGGTCTGATATTTTGTGTGGGTTCTGTGAATCAAGCAGAGGCATTATTTTTTAAATTATTTGGGAAAGATTTCTGGGTTTTAGTGAAAAAGGGCAGTTTTTAATCTGTTCACCTCTAGAGCCAAATGTTACAACTGCACTAAGAGCCAAATTTTAATTAGCAGGATGGAATTTTGGAGTACCTGGAGTGGACCAAGGTCAAGCTCAGGACCTCCACCTCTTTTGAGGCAAACCTGTGAGTGTCTCACTGCTCACTCCAGAGGCAGTAAATGTCCAATCTGTGACATCTGAAGTTCAGAAAAGTTGGCCCTCACCCAAAAGGGGCCTGACCTGGGCCTCTGACCCCAACATCCCTGTGCAGGAATTGCACACTTGGGGTAGAAAAGAGGAAATATTTCTCTGTGACTCCATTTCTGTGGCTGCCTGGAACTCTTGAGAGGTTTGAAATATTGGAATAAAGACCTGGGGGAGATGCAGAGCTGAGCAAACCCTGGGAGGTGGTCAGATATTAATGGGGAATTTACCATGGCTTTCCTACCTGGGCAGCACCTCTGCCTACATGAGGAACTTTGAGCATGCCCAGGACTCCAGACTGCTCAAAGCTGGTGATTAACATGGAATCATTGGA